TCCTCTTTAGGGATTGCCATCAGCTGTCTCATCATGTTCACCTTAATCTCACTCAATTATCCCAGCATCCCTTTCATTTTCAAAACCTTCAGCAAAGCTATCCTCTTTAGGGATCATCCAGCATGTTCACCTTAATCTCACTCAATTATCCCAGCATCCCTTTCATTTTTCAAAACCTTCAGCAAATCTATCCTCTTTAGGGATTGCCATCAGCTGTCTCATCATGTTCACTTTAATCTCACTCAATTATCCCAGCATCCCTTTCATTTTTCAAAACCTTCCAAAGCTATCCTCTTTAGGGATTGCCATCAGCTGTTCATTGTTCAAAACCAATTATCCCAGCATCCTTTTCTATTTTCAAAAGCTATTCTCTTTAGGGATTGCCATCAGCTGTCTCATCATGTTCACCTTAATCTCACTCAATTATCCCAGCATCCCTTTCATTTTTCAAAACCTTCAGCAAAGCTATCCTCTTTAGGGATTGCCATCAGCTGTCTCATCATGTTCACCTTAATCTCACTCAATTATACCAGCATCCCTTTCATTTTTCAAAACCGCCTTCAAAGCTGTCCTCTTTAGGGATTATCATTAAGTGTCCTATCATGTTCTCCTTAATCTTACTTGGTATTTCAAAAGTAATTTTTTTTTTTTAGTTAAAGCCTGAAGCTGCAAGAAGCCAATTTCAAACTGTAATTGATGAGTTGACAGACCTAAGTGATGTTTTCTGAAAGATGTGAAGAACTTACTTGCTCTTTCATGATAAATGTTCAGTCAATCAAGACCCAATAGCATCTCTGTTGGGGGAGTAATCACATGGGAGAGCATCTGTTTGTGCATTCAGAATAAGGTGTTCTCTTGTTGCTTGCTAAGTTCTAAGTTGCATCAAGATTATCTGACTGATTTGTTGAAATATAGAATATAGCTGGATAAGTTTCATGATGTCCTTCTTCAAAGGGGGAATACTTCAAAGGAACATTTGGCTTGTAATTGGTGCTTCATTATTTGTAGCTCTTTTATGCAGGGATTTTTTCATTTATTTGATGAAAAGAAATAATTTCTAATTTCATGAAATGCCTCACTGTTTTATTGTGATGTCAATTCCTGGCAGATGGATTACTCAAATTTAACCTCCACATAATTTTCTTTAAATAAACTTTATAATACCTAATAAATTTGTATAATTACAGACTGTTTTCAAAATGAATTGTCACACAGTTACCAATTACCAGAGATATAAATTGGTGTTTGCAATTTCTTCTCTTCATGTAAGTTATGCCTAGCTATGAAAGAAGAAAACTTGAATGTTTCAAAATAATATACAAATATTTAATGTTTTTCTTCTTTAATTTTTGATTATTTTCCATTTTATTGTTGCTTTATTTACCAAAGTACAAGTAATGAAATAAAGAAATGACCAGCAGTGAGATTTGAAGCTGTGTTCCCTATTCTGAGTTTATGTAAGAAGAATGTCACCTTAATGCAACTCAGAGGCTAATTTCTAGACAAATCTAAATCTATAGTCATATCACAACTAAATTTCTCATGCAATTATTCATGTGATATTCTTTGTTTACCATCTAGTGGCAGTCATAGTTATTTGAATTCATTGGTTTTCTTGTTAATGATTCAATAGTTCTTCTTTTATTGTACTGTTGATTATAGCTCACCATTCAGAAGTCAGAAGTTATATCTTTATTTCAAATTCTTCAAGAGTCCTTTTTCAGGATTACCACCAATTACCTTGTTGCACTCTCTTTAACTTTATTCAGGTTGCTTATTTTAACTGTCGTAAAGTATCATGATAAAAACCAGATAAAAACAAGTAGTTAGAAATTAATAATGAAAATGTTTCATAAAAGAACTTGGATAAGACAGTGAAAATTTATTCATTGAATGTAAACAACAATTCATCTCAATGTGTCAGACAAGAGTGATTGGGATCAGCATGGTGTCTCTATTCTGATAATACACCTGATTTTTTCCTGTATAGGAATTAGGCTTCTTCTCTTCCTCGTTCATATTATCTGTTTTCTGTTGCTGTCCAATTCCTCTTTCTTTTGTTTCCATTACACTTTCTTATATTTGAACAACCTGTGAGAGGTACAAAATTGTATTATTCGTAAAAAAACATGGAGATGTTAAAATATGTGTAACATGCATACAAAGACAAACTTAGAATTAATCAACAAACAAGAGGGAAAAAGCAAAGTGAATAAAATACCACCATCATATAATGTGGAGGCAAAAGGAGAGAAAAAACAAAAACAAAGAGTTAACACATTTTGATCCTCACTCTTCAGAGCTTCTCAAGGATGATTGTGTATAAATGTGCAATATTTGAAAACAACTGTAAAAGACAAACAGGAGAGAATTTTTTATATATATATATATATATATATATATATAAATAAATGTGTTTCATTGAATAATGTCGACATGTCTATTTATTTTTATAATAATCCTTTCTAGTTCTCTAATCAATTTCTTGATGTTAAGATGAAATTCATCAAGGTAGGCATGATAGTTTTTTCCTACCCAAGTACTTTCAATCTCCTCCAAGATCATCCTCAGGGGTGAATTACAAAGACAAACTTATTGTGATGGTAATTTGTAAAAACCTGTGTGAATGCACTCTGTTATAATTATTTGTTTTAATTTTAAATTTATTTGTTGTAGCTCTGGAATTCTTTGGAAAACAAGCGTCCCAATATAAGGGAGCTAACCAGAAATTGGTAGAAATGCACAACAACATTAAATATTTGTTAAATGCACTTCAACACATTGCTGCTGCACTTGTAATAAATTTTGTTGAGTGTTGGTTGTTTACTTTTGATATAGAGGGTCTCAAGAATTTGAAGTGTTTGTTTATATTTTTGTGGCATTGTATATTGGTGTTGTCAACAAATATTTTCCCGTATTGTGAAAGTGGACAGGAATGTGTTTTTAAATGTTGTGCAATAGACATATGTCTATATTATTCAATGAAACATGTTTGAATGAAAATATTAACATCATATATATATATATATATATATATATATATATATATATATATATATATATATATGCACCAAGGTGGAAAAAGTTTTAATGCGATGCATTTTGTCATTACGTTTAGGTTTAAGTTAATACAACTACACATGACTGTGAGAAGCTGAGAATTTTAAATTTAATATAATTTTTTTAACACAAGTGTTGGGTTAATATAATCTAACCAATTTCATTTAAATTCTTTTTCTTTTTATTGATGTTTCCATCCATGCCACATTGTGATAATAGAAGATCTGTAAAGGACAGTAAAATGTTATCAGAACCTGGATGCAAATTTACTATGCATGATCTATCAATTAAAGTACTTTCTAAACATTTATGTCTAGTAAAATGTTTTTTTCTTTTAATTAGAGTCGCATTTTTTAAAACAAAATTGTGGTCAATCTCATTGTAAGCAACTAAAGCATTTAATGAGTTGTTTTATAAGAGATCACTTTTGTATTCATATAATCTTTTATTTAATTTCTTTGAAGTTTCTCCTATGTATTCTTTGTGGCAATTATTACAGGTGAGAGAGTAAATTCCTCTTTCAAATATTTTATTTTGAATTGTTTTATTATTTTAGACATAGTTGTGTCAAATTTTATGTTGAGATTAGATAAATTACTTTCAGTTGTAGCTGTGATTAAGTTAGTGGATAGAAAGAAATGTAACTTTTCTAGATATAATGCTACACTACATTAACAGGAGCTTAAAACTTAGTGTTCACTGAAAATCAACTAATAAAAATGATCTCATAAATTTCTATTCTCATCATCACAGCAAAATAAAATCTGGAATAATCATTGGATTCTATTTAAGACCACTCAGAATTTGCAGTCCTCAGTTTTTATATGAAGAGGAGAAATGCATCGAAAATACTTTCAAGCTCCTCCAATGCCATATCTATTTCATAGTCAGTGTAAAACAAAAGGCTTGCTGAATATTTCAAAATAGAATTGTGTTCCTTCCTGACAAACCCAATGAATCAAAATATATTGTTCAAGTTAGTAAAGCCACTAAGATACAAGTTGTTACTAACTGTGAAAGAATAAGAAAAAAAAGAAACATTATTATGGGTTTACATAAAAGCACAGAATATTCCATTTAACTCTATACTTGTACATATTGCTCCACCAAGTGGCAATTCCCTGCAAGTGGCGTTCTATTGAACCAGAATCCATGATGTAAATAAAGACTGTTGAAAAATTGGTTGTCCCCAATGTGACAGTTTCATAAAGATTAATGTTAAGTCTGGCATAAGGTTATAATATTATGGGGAGGGTCCCATATGAATCTAAGTACTGTTAACAAATAGTGTAATGAATAGATTATGCATTGTATTATGGTTGGCTTGAAGTAACAAAGATGGTATGAGAAAATGGCAGGCTTGAAGTGACATGGCAGAGAAAATGAAATCATTGAATGAGCATGGGATTCTTGTTAAGGATATTAATGTTTGCTTCATACTTGATGCACTTGAGAAAGGTATCAGTCCAGTTCACCTTGTTCTCTCTCTTCTACTATAAGATATCTTGCATGTGTAATTGACAGCGAAACCTCTCCCCAAGGGCTTTCTTTCTTAATCAGACACTAACAGCAGAAAGCTGTTACCTCCATAATCAGCTTTCAGAGAAGCCAACAGTAAGATGATAGACTGATACTAATTGAAAAATAATGTTTTTAAGTGGTTGATTGATTTGTTTTTTTATGGCTTATCAACCCTTTGCAGGTTACTTAAATCTGGGAGATATTTTTAGATTCTAAGAATTTTTTTAATAATGATTTAGTGATACACATCTTCGTAATTAACCCATAGTGGGGGGGAGAGAAGAATGTAGATTCATCCCTTTCCCAAGAATTTTTATGTGTAAAGGAATATAATGAACCTATTGAGAATTGGAACATGGCTCTCCAATTAACAATTCTGAGTCATTATCCATTACACCACCTGCACATTCAAACTTAGATCACCTGGTGTTCCCAAGTGGTCACCCATCTAGGTACTGACCAGGCTCAATGTTGCTTAACTTTGAAAATCATAAGGGAACTACCGATTCAATCTGATATGGGCATAAACCAAAAAATATTTTTAATTTCTTAACAACATAAGATACACAGATGACACAGTGCTGATAGCAGACACAGAAAAGAAATGACAAAATCTCCTACAGAAGGTAGCGAAGGAGAGCAAGAAGAAAGGACTAAGCATAAACTACAAGAAGACAGAATACATAGTCATCAGTAAAAGGATGAGCCTGAAATGCAATTTACAGGTTGAGGGCACTAAAATCAAGCAGGTGCAAAAATTTAAATATCTGGGAAGTATTCTGCCAGAGGACGGTAAGTGTGACACTGAAACCCGAAGGTATGGCTAAAGACACATTCCAAAAGGCTAGTCAGAGTATTATGAGACAGGAGGATTTCTTTGGTAACAAAGAAAAGAGTAGTGAACTGCTACGTGACATCTGTTCCCCTTTACGGCAGCGAATGTTGGACAATCTCCTCAAAGATGAAGAAGAGACTCGAGGCAATGGAGGTATGGCTCTACAGAAGGATGCTAGGATACTATGGACCGAATATGTGAGCAGCGATGAGATATTGGAGAGGATGCAAACAATGAGGAAGCTTATACTTAACATCAGGAAAAGGCAGATGAAATTTCTAGGACATGTAATGAAAAAAAAAAAGGGCTTGGAGAATCTGATATTCACAGGGCGGAAAGTGAGAAAGAGAGACAAGGGAAAACAATGCATGACATACCTAGCGGACTTAAACAAGTGGATGCCAGAACAGGGTTTAGGAGAAGTAGCAAAATTGGACAAAACATAAGGGATAGGGGGAAGTGAAGAGCCATGATCGTTGATGTCCTGAAGAAAATAAATTTAATGAATACAATAAATAAAGAAAATCAAAAGAATTTCAAATGGGATTAAATTATTTCTGCTGTTCAGGATGGCATTCAACTATAGGTTTGGTTAAATTTGTATGGGTCACTGGTATACCATATAAAATATGAAGTGGATTGTTTAGTTGAGTGTGTCTTTTTAAGGTTGAAAACATCTTTTTTGCTTCTACAATCTTGAAAGGTAAGATAGTTTATGGTAGTTATTTGATTAAAAAGAATTTAAATGCTATCTAAAATGAACTATTGCCATTATTTCACTATATCTTCAACTTTGTTTCACAAGTATCTTTATCTTTGTTGTTTTTAACTCATTGTTATTAATGTTTTTATATTTTCCTCACCACTGTCATACCTTTTCTTCAGTGCATTTCTATAGTAAAATTATTTCCAATGCATTTGTAGTAAAATCATAAGTAATGTATTCATGGTATATAAATGATAGTCATTTTCTGTTAGCAATGCTTGCTTTAATTCCTGACCATTGTTAATTGCTTCCTTATTTTTCAGTACACAGCAGGTTGAGTGTCAAATCAATGTACAAAATTACAAAGTTCATTGTTTAATTCTTTAAATTCTCTTGTTAAATGTAAATGTTATAATTCTTTATTTTTCTTCATTCATAACACTCATTTTTCTTTATTCCTTTGAGTTCTTGTACCAGTTATAACCATCATCATGTGTTCGCTGCTACACGTTCTTCAGTGAGCAGGTATAAGATGTACTTCTGTGACTTTTAGGAATGCCTTTCAAGTTAATATTTTGCCTTTAATTTTCTTGCAAGATATTAATATTAAATGATCAAGTTTTTGAATTAAAATTATACTGTCTGAAAAATTTTTGAATTAAAATTATACTGTCTGAAATTTTCAGATGAGTTATTTCAATATTCAGACAAGAATCTTAGTTCTTGATAAATTCTTCAGCATTCTTGAGATTTTGCAATATTTGACATGCTGTACAAAATTATAACCATTTTGATAAATTATTTGACTTTGTTTTGTGATGTCAATGAATACTCATTGTCATTTTTGTAATGCTTGTTTTAGAGACTTTGTAATCAAAGATACAACTATACCATGCCATCAAACAATACTGGTGTCAGACGCCTTTGAATAAGTTTGCACTAATAAGTACTTGTAATTTGTATAGTGATCCAAATAGAGAAATACTACACTGAATAGAGTACAGAATAGTGGTCTGGATAGTAAGGATAGAGTAGAACTAGTGATCTGTATAGTATAGAGGATAGACTAGGAATAATGATCATTTGTCTTCAACTACTTTCTGCATATATGCATTTCCTCTATGGTTACGTGATCCCCTTAATTCAATAATGGGATCGCCTCTGTTTGCTCACTGTTGATCCATGTTCAAACTCAACTGTCGGCAGCAACACTTTATTCCTAACACTTTGTATGACTAGTATGTAGCAGTTAACGTGTCATAAAACCATTTATAATCACATATATCATTAGAAAACCTGGGAATCTATTTGCTTCTACCTGAACATTGTAGAGTTGTCAGTGTGCTATAAAATCTAATAAAATCATGACCTTTATATATGACTCTATAGCTATCCACTCGTATTTGAGTATACCTGTCTACTAGGACAGCTAGCCAATCCCTATAGCAGACACTTGTATATTTGGCATATTTGTGTTTGTTCAACACCCACAAACCCACCTGTGATTTATGCTGCAACTATGTTCAGTAGATCTTAGTCACAGTTTCTGGGAAAGAGCATGTTATCTAGCATAATCAACAATCTGATCAAGGCCAGCACACTCAAACCCTCAGTCACGATGAATTGTGATTTCATGCTAGATGGCCCCCTGAGGGTTCCATCAACCCAATTTTATTCACAAGGCTTGCATCAACCCAATGTGCTTTCCAGGCACTTTTCAAAGGTGCTGCATGCTGGGATTGCTCCCTCCAGACCAATAACATCAGTAACATCAGGAAGTCTCCTTCCTGACAAATTGACCATGCTGAGATTCAAAACTGGGGGGTCTCCTGGTCAGAAAACGAACGTTCTAACCACTCTGTCATGTACCCATCATATATGTATATACATATATATATATATATATATATATAATATAATATAATATATATGCCATTAAATGACATTCATAATGGAAATGTAAACCTTGCATAATTGAATAAGAATTATGAGAATATGTTTAAAAATTGTTTTGGACAATATGACCATTATATAAGAATCAGTGTGCTGTGACACCACCATATAAAAATTACCTATTGCATTTTCTTTTAAAATATATTGTCATGAAATAATTGTATTTCTGACAAAAGGTTTTTCCTTCTCACTGAAGTAGATGCACAGTCAATTTCTTTGTCCTCAATGACCTTTCGCCTGTGCAGGATGCTCATTCATTTCCTTTGGAGATAAATAATCTTTATGCATTGAAGACGTTTTTGCTTTTGTGAACAAGTTCTCATGTGCACTCTCATTGGCCTGTGAAACAGCAGTTGCCACTCTTAGCATGTCAGTTACAAATGAAGGTGAAATTATAGAAGTGGGTGGGAGAAATATTTCTATGGGGCAGTATGTATCTTTTCTAGGATCTGGTGCAGTATACACAGTAATATGTGTGTGCAAAGGCACAAACATGTAAGGTGTGTTTAAATCATGAGCTGTGTTTTTATAATGCATTGGACATGTAAACATGTCTGTGCTGATGAAAGATTGTTCTATTAAGTTAGCTGAATCAACCTGCAGTTGTGTGTTGAATACTGCTGTCTTGGAGTTTTGAATTGTGTTGTGAAAAGCAAATTCTACAGCACAGCTAAGAATAAGAGTAATGGGTGAATATAAAACTATTATACCGCTGTTGGAACAACAAAGCAAATGCAATATATATCTCATATTTATTTGTGCCAGTTGAGAGAAAAAGGAAAAAGGTTTTAGTTTTAAGATGCAGACTGTTACTTTGCCCTGAATGGATATTTCTATATTCTTCTCTGTAGGAATTCTATCCTTTCTCTGGGTTACTCTAACCAAATAAAGATGTTCTTCTCTGAGTTTTTTTCTGAATTTTGACTTGAGTGAACAGTCTTTAGTCTCTTGTAACAAGGTTGAAAAAATGAACATATATATATATATATATATATATATATATATATATATATATATATATATATATAAGCATATCTTCATTCAAAATGCTTGGTTAAATAATCTGGAGATATTATGTCTTTATTTTTATGTTAATCCTTTCAAATTCTCAGGTCAACTTCTTAATGTTGATCTTAAATTAAGGAAGATGCCATAGTTTTTTTTTCATTTCTCTTACTTCCCCAAGTACTTTCAATCTTATTCAAGATCATCTTCAGGGGTGAATTACTAAAACAAAAATTAATGTAATTGATAGTTGTGAATTATTTTAGTAAATGCACATGAAATTCTCTGTTATAATTATAAATTAACTATAACGCAGTATGTTCATATAATTATAACAGAGCATGTTTCATGTGTATTTACAAAAGAATTAACAACTATCAATTACATCAATTTTTTTGTCTTAGCAATTCACTCCTGAAGATGATTTTGGATGAGATTGAAAGTACTTGGGAAAAATAAAAGAAATGAAAAAACTATGTCACCTTCTTTAATGAATTTAATATCCACATTAAGAAGTTGAGATATATATATATATATATATATATATATATATATATATATATATATATATATAAGAAATGTAGATTTTGCTAAAACTCTGAGTTTCATGTAAATGGCAATTGTTGTACCAAATGGTGCAGAATAAAATGTATAGTTATTATTAGTATAAATTTTAGGTCTTTTAATATACATTGAGAATGGTTTTATTCCCATCAAAACTCACTATGTGTGGTATATATATATATATATATATATATATAGGTACATCTTTGCACCTCAACAGAGCAACTCAACAAATGTTCAAACTATGCCATGAAACATATGTTTATATGAACTTTTGTCCTTGTTTTAGTGGGAGGAACGCACCTCTAAAGTTTGTAAAAGTATTTTTGATGCATCTTGTGTGTGTGTGTATATATATATATATATGTGTGTGTGTATATATATATATGTGTGTGTGTGTGTGTTTGTGTCTGTGTATATATATATATATATATAAAAGCATTATCAGTTACAAAGCCTCAA